CCTGATACACAGAGGCTACCAAAGACAGGGAACAGCTTACCAGGCCAGAGATTTTCCCTTTCAGTGCAACGCAGGGTATTACACAGGTCCTGCCTACGTTAGAAAAACAGGCAGTGAAAACTTAACAGGTTATAAGATCCTTTGGCCACAAAGACATCCAAATGCGGTTATTTTTATACACTAGGCAGGAGCGCAATCTGTGTCCAAGTTTATAAACTGTGGCCTTGTAGTTTATTAAAAGGATTCTGTTACTGGCTCCTCTCTCTTCAGTTATTGTATCCAATGCCCGTGACATGCAGTTACAGCCCTCTCAAGACTGCCCCTCTATAAAACTAGGAATGCTGCCCCTTCCCCCTCCTCCCCTTAGGGAATGGGGGCAATCAGCATTAGAGTAACTAAATATTTGAAGAAGAGATCCATTTTTACTGGCAAATATTATTTGGAAAAAAAGTTTGCACTTCCTCAAGTGCTCAGATAAAAGGGCACGAAGGCACACTGGCTGCCACTGTCCTCCTCTCCTCAGGTAAGAAAGCTGAGATCTGGGGTAAGCTCATGGCAAAATTGAGAACAACTCCCCAAACTCGATTTCAACCCCTACCTCCAGACCCCTTTGTGTCATCAAAGGCAGACAATTGGTCCATTGAGCCCAGTCTCTTCTCTCCAGCTTCAGTCAGCCAGATCACTCCTAATAGACAATTTTTGAGACAAATTTAACTTCCCCTCTTGCATGCAAATGCCCATGACTAGGCTACTTGCTCCCTCCATATCTGATTGTCTAGAAACACTCAAAGAGGTGAGGTTTTTTGCAGTTTCATTGAACTTCTCATTCCATTCTCAAGGAGAACTCCAAATGTGTTCTGAGCATCACGGTGGCATCACTTCTGCCCCCTCTGAGCAGAGGATCCAAGCACCACTGGTTCTGACACATGGACACAACTGGCATGAAAAACTTCCAGGAATACTCACATGTTTGCATGCTTTTCTTTACCCTCCAGCAGCACAAACACCAGTGAAAACCTGAACGGTCAGGAACATATGCAAACAATGTCATTGTGGTAACAGCTAATTCATCTTTTAAATTCCAGGTAATATCTTCAGACTTCTTTTTTGGCATCATTCCCCAGCTCCTATCCAAGTATCCGATGTCCATGGCTTCTTAAAACATGGTGGCAGATGTCATTCTGATAGGAAACCAGAAATTCCTTCCTGACTTAGCAGATTACATCATGCCTCTGAAATGCAAGATCAAATCCAATCCAGCTACCTGTCCATCTCCAGACTGCCTATCAATTAGCATTAGACACTAATTTGATTAAATTGGTATGTTGAAATTTTATTTGATTCCACCTAAGGAGTGTAATTCCCCCTGCGTGTTCTCTGTAACCCACTAATTTTCCAAAGGAATGGGAAACACAGGTTGGGATTTGGAGGCTATTTCTTCTACTTGTTAACATGTGAGCTTAAAACCGCAGTAAAAAATAAATCCATGCAACTTGGTAGAATGAGACTTGCCAGTTTAAGAGAAAACGGCTTTTTACAGAATAACCCAGATGGGGAAAAAAAGTATACATTTAACTCTGAAACCTGAAGTGTTCTTTGAGGGAAAACGAATACATTTTAGCCTTAAAGGGATCACAGACTGCAATTATATAATTCTTGTCAACTGATGTTAAAGATAGGCTGGAAAGAATGTATGCTGAGGCCCTGCAATAAAACGAGCTCCTTTACTCCTTTCAAATGTTTGCAAGCCTTGGAGGTTATCCAAAGGTCGAATACAGGAAAAGTCTTGGTGAACAGAAAACATAATCACGAGCTTTTTTAATACGGGCTCTTTTTGTAATAAAATAAAATTATGGTAAGGGAAGGGAGGGCGGGCTCTGTCTCCTCAGATCTAGGGCCAGGGGGGCTGAGTTTTAATCAGACGCTGCTGTTCTCCCCTCCTCTCTCCTCCCCAGCCTGTCACTGCACAGAGAGAGAAGCCAGCGGAGGGCACTGGGTGTGCTGCAGAGGGGCAAAGACCCAAGCCTGGCACTGAAACCCCTTGACTTTCTGCAATACAACAACATGTTTCCCAAGAGGGAGATGGAGAGGGGTCTTCATTGCCAGCCAGCTCACACAGGACAGCAGCAGATCCCCAACACCCTCCTCTCCCAGGGTCTGTTGGGAGAACAGCTCCATGCTGGAGCTGTTACCAATGTGCTGCTGCTTCTGGGGTGCACCAGGACAAATGGCACGTTTCCCACAAAAACCCCCCAGGAAGCTGGAAGTAAGGTATATGGAGAATATCACATCCAGCTGGAACTACACAGGAGTTTAGAGATGAGTTGTCAATGCTCTCATGGACATTGGGGCAGAATCCAGGGCTTGCAGTCTTTATTCTTTCCAAAAGTGCTACGGCTTCTCTCGTGACCATCTGCAGTCAGGGAGCTGCTTTCTGTTTCACCTGGAGTACTTGGTGGCACTGCCTGGTCACCCCACCTGGGCTGCAGCCGCAAGTCACACACAAGCACTTGCATCACCACCTGCATTTAGTTCAGAAATTTTCTATCCAACTGCAGATTTGACCTCATCTCCACAGTCTGCTGAACACAAGACTGGAGCAGCAAACCATGAAGTATCTAGAAGAAATTAATGAAGTGGACATTTGCTGAAGGCATCAGACACTTCTGAGTTGTGTTCATCCTTCATCAGAAAATCTGGGAGACATGCAGCAAGAGTGGCTTTGTTCTAATCCCGTACTCCCTGTAACATTTTATCACCATTTACTTCTTATGGTGACTGCTCCATCATCCAACTCTTAGTACAACCCTGACTTATCTGTACTTCACAGGTTGAGAAAACAATTTCACAACAAACTATAGTTTTTCCTCTCAAAAATCAGAAACCTGTTTTAATGATCCATCTGCACTGCCTGGGGAACGTCATTCATGCTGACAAGTCCACCACTGTTTTGAAGATGTTTTTTCCTGTTTCTTGAACTTCTTCTGGACTTCCTTTGTCTGTCATTTCACCGTTACCAAGATGTATAGAGATACCTTTCCCATTCTCTGCTTCATACGAATAAGGGCCGGGAAGGGAGGGGAGGAGAAGAAAAAAAGAACATACCTACCACCATTCCCATCTAGGCAAGAAACAAACTTCAGAGCTGGAGCAATCCATACAGACTGGTAAATGCACCTGCTCTGTTATGATGTGAAACTAATTCACATTAGCAGTGTTCCCATGGACCATCTCTTAGACTACAAGCATGAAAACTTGACCCCATATTTAAAGTAAATTTAAGCCTTGGGGTTGTCCTGTGCAGGGCCAGGAGTTGGACTTTGATGAACCTAGTGGGTCACTTCCAACTCAGGATATTCTATGAAAATATTTCTTGTTAATATAATTTCATGCCAGTAACACATCTTCTGATACAAACAGCACATTTTGTTCTCCCTCATCTTTGAGGAAGATACGCAGAGCTGCCAGTTCACAAAACCAGGAGACAAAGACCTTTGAAAGACCCTTAACACTACTGCATGCAGAATATGCCATATATTTATTTTTAATGGTATAGTCAGTCACAAAAGAGATGTGACTGTGCCCTATTGTGTTCCAGGAGTGGTCACAGTGTCAGGTACCAGCCCCTCATTAGGAGGTATGACCCAGAACACCACCTCTTCTCGGTTTCATTTCACCTCTCCCTCTTTCACGCAATCCTCCTCCTGCTGAGTGGTGTTCCTTGGGTTTATCCACATGCTCTTCCTCTTCCTTTTGAGCTGGAAAGCCAAGAGAATAAATACATGAGCACTGGAAAAATTACTAGAAAGTAAGTTGCTGATTTTCAAAATAAAGGTCCCTATTCACAGGCTGATTTAGAGAATTGTTTTGGCATGTGCCTCAATCCAGTTGATCTCCACAAGACATGAAAACACACCAAAACTCAAACAGATATTGAAGAGCCCTTCCTGAGCGAAGCCCCTTGCCCAAACTGGGGAATAAGTTAAAAGAAGATAACCTACAGAAATTCCATGTGCTTGGGACAGCTCTGGGGCCCAGGAAACAGGGAAAGCAGTAACCTGACCCTGCACACCAGAATGAAATCGGAGTCTGGGGAGATGGGATCCAGATTTTCCTGAGAGCAGAAGGTGGATGCTCAGTGGTGCTGCAGGCAGGCAGCTCTTTAAACGAGCTCTGCACATGGGAACAAACATGCCCAAAGGCCTCACACCCAATGGGAAGCTGCTGGGTGCTGAACACAGCTGAATCTCTGGTGCTCAGAGTGGGCACTGAGCCCTGGCAAATCCGACTTCCAGCCCTGCTGAAAATCTGTCACCACATCATCAATGTTAAAAGATAGGTTTTTCAAATGGGAAAAGTGCGTTTATCACCCTCAGCAAACTCACGAACAACACAAAGCATAATTGCTCAAACGTCAAATAAAAATTCTTGTCTGAGTAAACACCACACATGGACCTTTTTTGATCCCCAAATATGAATGCTTTAGAACAGGATGAGCATGTGGTCAGCGGGGCTGGAACGGAGAGTGCTTTGTAACCTTAACTATACCAGGCGTGATAAAGTGCCCGCTATCATGAAAAAAAGCTCATCTAAAAGACAGAGGGAAACCAGATGGAAAAAGAGCACAAACTCTCAGCAGGAATTTCAGGGATTTTTTTGTTTCTGAAACAAAGATCTCTTCCCATTTCTGCTCTAGGCTAAGCAGAAAGGTGGTCCCATCCACCTGAGGCATTCTGAGGGCAAGACTGAAAGGCAAGGGTTAGCTTCCGTGCTGGAGCTGCAGCTTCCCATGGCATCAGGATCTGTGAGCCCCCCACCATGGGAGCATGTGCCCCCATCCCCTCCACCCCAGTGGGCACCCGAGGCTGCAGGGGTACCTACCTCAGCTATTGCTGCCTGCAACACCTTGGCTACTTCTGATACAGCAATTCTTTCTGCTGCCCGGGCAAACGCTTCAGCATCTCTTTCTGCCTCTGTTTTTTCTGATACTTCCACCTTTGCTCCTTCAGGAATGACCACCTTTCCACACAGACCTGTTCTCGCTGGGCTTTCCACCTCCCCTGTTGCTGCTGCTTTTTCTACTCCTTCCACCTCAGCTTGTGATGCTGTTGCATCCTTTCCTGTTTCCTCTGGTGCCATGACAGTCAGCAGCTCCATGTTCCCTGCAAGGTCACCAGCAGCCAGCGTGGCAGGAGGACCCTTCCCAGGGGACAGCACAGGCCTGTGCAGTCGTAGAGCTGGCCTGGAACCTGTTGGTAGAAATGGAGAGTGTGAAGCAGCACAACTGTGAACAAGTGGATTTCCCAGTGTCACTATAAGTGGACCAGCAAGAGGTCCTGGAGACAGCAAGGTCTGTTTCCCAACAGTCTGCCTTTTCTGCAGAGGCCCAGAGCAAGAGCCTGAGACCAGCAGCACTTGCGTGGTAGCACAGCTTTGACTGTCACAACCCAGCCCCACGTTCTCCTGTGGGCAACTGCCACTTTCACAGCCTGAACTGAGCCCAAGCACACAGCTGTATTCCAGAACATCTCAGTGCCTCATATGAGGTGGTTTGTGTAGCATTTGGAGACAAACGGGAGAACAAAAGGAAGGCTGACTCTCCCAAGATCCACTTTGCTTAATATCCTAGGGAAAAAAAGCTTTCTCTACAGAGAAAATAGCATGGAATCTGGGGAACATGCAAGTCAAACATGCTTTTTCAAACTGTCATACCCCATTGAACCTTTTACAAAAAGAATCCAAGGGTCATCCCCACAGGCAGGGAATAGCAGTCTCAGGTCAGACAGACATAGTGTGCCTTCTCTCAGAGTTTCTGCCAGTGCATCTCACTTCTGGCCTGCACCTGTCTCCCTGCTGCAGTCTGTGCTCCCCATACACACCTCAGCTGTTGGGCTTCAAAGTCTGCAGTCACACGAAGCATTTAATTTACATGTTCTTCCCAATGCCATGGTAAGTACAGGTGAAATTCTGACAATCAAATTCATTCAAATCAGATTTCTGGTAAATACACAAGGGACGCTGTTAGAGGATATACATAACTGTCTAATATACATGTATTAGTCAACTTTGGTATTAGAAAGATCCCCTACCAAATGTAGCTGCTGTCAATTCAAAACATTGAGGCTGCAGTGAAGTAAATGAATAGTTCCCATAACAAACTGTGAAAGGAGTTGTACTGTAGATGCTACTCCTCCCTTGTAATACCTACTCCAGTCTAGAAGTCAGGACAAGTCTGAGAGGTGATGCTGGATGGACTAAATTTTATGAACTCAGAGTACAAGTTAAGGAGTCAGAAAGAGCCATTGAATCTGCTCATATTCACTGGCTTGGGAAAAACAAAAATCACCATTTGATTTGTTCCCCCACATTTTGTCCCATCTCTCCTACAGAGACCAGCACATGTGAATATACAGCAATACAACGGGATTCCTGTAGCATGGAGGCATCCTCACGCTGGCTGTAACCCCGCCAGCACAACACCAGGGTTTGGCACAGCTCACAACCCCCTGCACACCTCCACGGGCAGTCCCAAGAAAAGGACAAGTAACACTTGACAGATGTGCTGAGCAACTGTGATCGGCAGGGGACCCCGATGCAAACACACGAAGGATACTGGCTGTTCCCAGCTCACACATGCTCCACAAACCACTGGCAAGGAACTTGGGCAGGCCTGATGAAATAGTGATGACACCACTGTTCAATGCTGTTTAGCATCAGTAATTAAAAAAAGAGGAGAAAAAATAAGGTGGAAAGTTATAAAAGGACATGATGGAATAAACAAGAGGTGCTATGATTGAAGAAAGAGGAAAATTATAAAGGAAAAAAGTAAAAGGAGAGCAGAGAAGGTAGGGAGGAAAAACTGGAGAACAGGGAAGTAGGTTGCAGATTGCCACTGGTTGGAGAGTTGTGCTCAACTACACTTAGAGAGAAGATCAGGAGTTGAAAGCTACCTGAAGCGTCCTGCCACACACACCTACATCCTTGTGGACACAAGTCAGTCACTTGCTCATGCCATTGAACAAGCTACCTGCATATCTGCTTCATTAAATAGTAACCCTGTAGGTCTGCTGACAAGAACATACTTCTCTCTCCTTTGGTAATTAGCCCTGAAGGCTGGTCACGCTCACTGGCCATGAAACGCTGCAACAAGCAGCCTTTTCATGCCTCGAGCTTTACCTTTGTCCCTGTCTGTTCCCATCAGGCTGGTAAAGGCAGGCACGATGCCTGTCTGACACTGGCGCTCCCCGGCAGCATTCATGCTCTCGCCCCGCCGAGACGGGCGGAGGCGTCTCTCAACAGGGCAGATATGAGCTCGCTGGCACAGGCGGCCGGTGACCGCAGAAACAGAGAACTTTCAGCCTTTTCCTTCTGCTCGGAGAAAAAACAAGGGCAGAGTCGGCAGCAGCAATTTGCTGCCAGTCAGCTTGAGACAGCTGCAATTTGATATGCTGGGAAGAGGAAGGGTCTTACGAGACTCCAGAGATACAGGAGAGGAAGCACAGGGTTTTGTGTCAGGACCTGGACAGGAACTGGAGGCTCAGCCCTTCTGTAGGAGGCTGGGCACGCTGTTTGCTCAGCAAACCTCACCCCGGGGCTGAGCAGCTTTCTCTCACTTATGCCACCGAGGCAGGAGTTTGTACCCACCGCATGTGACACAGCTCTGACCCCAGTCAGTGATACGGTCGTAAGAGCAGTAAGAGACCCAAACCTATTTTAACAAACATAAAACGCCTCCTGAAGTTCCTGCAATGTGGGTTGAGTTAAGCTAAAGCTGACATGAACTCAGTGTACAGGATTAAAATGGTTTTGGTTTTTTGGGGTTTTGTTTTTTTAATTTACTCTCCTTGTCAAAAAACAAAGGAGGCAGGTTACAAACACTCCTTTCAAACCCGTTAGGAGCCTGAAAAGAACCATGCATAGCCCAAAGCTTTAGCTTTATGATCACATTTCTCCTCCAAAATATTTTGGAGACAAATTCCAGGCACCTCAGCCTGGAGAGCCTCATTGGAGAACAGTGCAGAGATTAAAACCAAACATATTGCCAGTAATTCTGGGCAGCCTGTTCCAGCAGTGAGACTGTGGACCTGAGAATGAACCTTCTGCTGTGCTCTGACTTGAGATAAGACCTTGAGTAAGTCCCACCTTCCTCTCTGGCCTGTGGTCCCTCTACTGCAATAGTCTGCAGAGGCAATGGTTGAGAATTAGCAAAGGTTATTCCTTATTTTGTAGTGACTGAGGTCTGGTCACTGCAAGTATGATTTTTCAGGAAGCTTGCTGCCTGCACAGTTTTTGTATATGTACATATTAGCATTTTGACCCACATTTGCATGGGGGTCAATTTAACCTCATAACCTCCAGTTTAACCTCATAAATTGCTTCTAAGCCACCAGAACATTACCCAGGAGAGCAGGCTGGCAGGATTTCGGATCAAGCCACCCCTCAGCTGCACCACACTGTCAAAGTCCACCACCCCCTGCCCAGGTCACTCTGACGCCAGACCTGCACTCTAAGAGCATTCCCAACCTAACATCCTTTTTCCGAGCACTCACATACCTGGCTCAAGACTGCTATGTAGGTGACTCCCTTGTGCTGTACAACCCCCATTCCTTCCACCAGAGACCATTCCAAGGTCTGTTTTCTGCTCTGCAGATATTCCGTTCCTTCAGGGAAGTGGTTTGGAAAGCCCCTCTTTAAAACCTCTCCCGCCACTTGGCACCCATGTAATTTGCCCCCAGCCCATTTGTTCATGTCTGACTAATGTTCATTGATTCAAAATGAGTTTGAAGCTAATGCTGTGTCTCCCAATTAAATGTTTGATGGAATGACATCAAAATCAAAACAGACAGAAAAAAATATTTCCCTTTGATATGCTGACAACATTGTACAAAACTCACTATTATAAGACTCTGGTTGCTTAGAATTTTGCCCGACTTTAATCATTTGAATTAAAGCTTTCCATGCTGGTTGTCTGCCCCAGCTGGAATTCAGGGTGAAAATTTCAGCTAATGCAGTTCATCCACTACAGGAAAACTTTTTACCCCAGTTAAAAGAAAAACAACAAACAACTGATATCTCTTGCAAGCTTTTAGTTGGATAGTCTCAGTGCTATAGTTTGGAGCACTGCTTTAAATTTTGGCAGGAAGGTCACAATGGTGCCAGGGAATAATTTTTTACAGGAAGAGTAATGGAGCTGTGGCCAAGTTAGGAGCCCTTGAAAAATCAGTTTGCATATGCTCTGCAGTGATTTGTGATAGTTAGGCAGCAAAAATATTTTTCAAAGTCCTGATTTCACAAACTGAATAATCATTTTGTGTAGTTTTGGTTTTGTTTTTTTTTTTTTAATGTAATCTATAAAAATAGCCAGTGACCTTTAGTGACATCTAAACAGGCTCCCGGTTTCCTTCCATGGTTTGAAGGCTTAAACAATAGCCCCAAAGAAATTACTCAATACCACACACACATGTACTCGATGCCTGGGAAACTGCTGGTTGTTGGTCAGCAGGAACAAGGAGATTCACACAGTTCCAGTGTGTGGCAGGTTCAGGCAATTTGGGGAATTCAGGCATGAAAGGTCTGAGATGCACGAAGCCAACACCCCCGCAGCTACCAAGCAGTGTGAGGATGCCCACAAGTTTTGAATGGGTTGAGATTCCACAGGACTTGGTGGACACCCTCACCAAGCTGCTGGTGTAATGCTTTCCATGTGCTTTTCCATGAGCCTCCCAACTTCCTAGTACAGGTTGCTGAAGTCTTTCAGCATGGCAGAGTGAAGGATTTGTGCTCCCAAACCAGTATATTCCTATAGGTAGGGCAGGAGCATTAAATTGCCCTCATTATTAAAGGAGGAGGAAATTTCAGAATCCCAATAGGCAAAATTCACCTGACACCAGGTTTTAACATCTACGTGTGTAACCTCAATCAGAAAGAAACCTTCAACAGCTCAGCTGGTGGAACTGTTGTCTTTAGACCACAAAGAAACCTGAAGGTTTCTGAATAAATCAGGATTCTGGAAGTGGGGTCAACCTTCAGGCTGACAGTCACAACATGGCAACCGCCAGTGTTCGAGGAAAGTGGACAGTTCGTAAGTGACTTACATTGTTGTTCTGAAACCCCTTCTCTCTATACCTGCCAAAGCTGCTATTTACCCAACATAGCCATAGCATTGGGTCATTAAACAATAGTGATGGCAATGCCCAGAGAACTCCAAGCACCTATTGTAGTATCACTGAATTCCTCCTTTGATCACCATGGTCAGAAATATCTGATTTTTATCACTCTTTAATAGCTCCCAATCAACTTTAAGAAGTTACCACAATGCTCATGGTAGAACTTTTGTCAGACCAGGGTAATCATTGACAAAACCAGAACAGCAGATCTCCCTAGCTCCACGTTGTCAGTCATATGTGACCTTCTCCATGGACTCACAATCCCAGGGACAGGGTTTGAGCTTCCATGTTGAAGACTACTCTGCCTGTGTCAGAGCAAAAAGAGCTGTAAATATAAAAGCCTTTTTCTGAGCTTCCTGCAGAAGCCCAGAGAGATTAATAGGGAAGAAAATTTGAAGCACATCTGAGCAATTTCGGAAGGACACACACTCCTAAGCATGAAATAGGAACTTCCATGTTCGTATGTTTCTAGTGGATCACTCAAGAGAAACGCATCTTTCCCATACTCAAGACATAAAAAGGCTCTTCCTTGTACAATTCTGCCACCCTTCATCTGTGTGCCAGACGATGCTTACAAATGATTTAGCAATATTCTGTAGTCACTGTTACGACCTCAGGATACCTGCGCTCACTATTCTCCCCCTCTGTGATTGTCTAATTAACAAGTATCTAACTAAACCTAAGCAGCTGCTTATTCAACATATGCTTAGCACTGACAGCTTTTGTTTCAGACTTGGAGGGCCCCTGTGCCTTAAGGTTTGCCTAAGATCTCCAGTCATACTCCTCTGTCTAATAAAAGACATTATCTCCACCTGCAAGCCTTGTCCAGCAGTAACCAGAGAAATGTGTCTTGTCTGGTTCCAAAATTTGTTAGTCAAAAGGAAATGAAAATCCAGTGCTTTAATGAATGTTTCTGAAAACAAAATGGTCAAAAGAAAGGAATCTGAAATCAAGTTTATAAACTCCAAGAAATTATAGAAGTTAATAATATTTTACAAATTTCTGTTTTCTGTATGTAGATAATGTTGCTCTCGAGAGGCTTGTTCTTGAAACCTCCTAAGAAACCCTCAAGAACCAAAAACACTAGAAGTGAGCTTTAGGACTAAGACTTCTCTAGGTGAAGGAGACACACATCAACACCCGTGACTGCTTATTTTAGAGAAAACAAAAAGGGTTATCTTTTTTTGGTTTTGGATGCATTCTGTGAAACTAATGAAGATTATAACCCAGTGCCAACATATTTAATGAATCACAATGAACAAATGACAGGTCGCTTCAGCAGAGGAAAGAACAAATTTGCAACAACCATTTGAAGAGGGAGCATTTTTAAGTAATCATAAGTTATGTAATTACATGATTAATGCCCTAGTTTGTAGGTAGTCAAAACTTGGCAATAACACATATAACAACATGTCTAATCAAACTCTCTAATGTGTAGGTGTAACCTCATGTACAGATAAGAATTTCTCTCTTTATTACCTACCTGGTGATGTACACTGGGAATTCTTGGATTGACTCTAAAGCACCAGACATTATCTAGAGACAACACAGTGGATTCAAGGGGCAGCTGTATCAGCCAGCTTGGGTGACCTTCTAAAGGGTTAAGCAGTAAAGGGAATTTAAAAGATTTGCATGTTCCCAAGCAGTGAGGAAAAAAAGGAAAAATGACATACTTCTAAATTAAACTTTTAGAATAGGTACGTTGGTATAAGCAACTTAGGGAACATGAAATGAAAAGCATAGAGTATATGCACCCTCCCAAGACAGCAGCTGTGTATTCTGGTGGAAGCATTGGTTTCCTATATCTAACACATGCACACATTCATGTTCCTCAGTTACAGATCCAGTTACTTTATCTTGTATAGTTTATGAAATCATAAGGACTTTCATTCTCTGGTGTATTTTGGGAATTCTGCAGACTTTCAGTGCTCCTACTCAAGTCAGCCATGCAACCAGGTGATTAAGCTAAGTTCCCTTGAAAGAAAATCTTTATTAAATACTCAAACAAAAACATGGAGCTCAAAAGCATTAAAGTGTTATTTAATGATCATTATGGCAGTATGAGAGCCAGATGCAAGCTGTTCTGTTCTGTCCAAGTTCAGCTTCACAGGAGTGATACTTTGCATGACATAACCCCTCCCAGCAAAAAGTCTGACAGCACAGAGTAGCTCCACAACGTTTGTTGAGGTCGAGTCTTTGACTCAATGTAGAGTCAGACAGACCATCCATCTCTTCTTGCTCTGGGTGGGACAGTGGGATCAAACTCCTTCATTAAATCCTTAACAAAAGCAGCCTTATGTTACATCATCCACTAAATTGCATCCATCATTCATTGCATCAAACTGCAGTGACTCACAGAGCTGCTGTTGGGCTCTGGCTCTTTCCACTGAAGCCACTGGGCATCTTGCTAACTAGAAAATGGAAAAAGGCCTTGGATCATGTATACACTGTATGGCAGCACAGTCCATATAGAGTATGCACAAAGAAAGACTAATTGAACCTTTTCCAGAAAGCAGCTGTCTCTGGCTTAGAAATCAATGACTGTTTACTAGTTAGCCAATAAAAAAATTTAGGGATAATAAAGAATAAACACCCATTCCCTCAGGAAAACCTTTATAGAATATATGGATGAACCAAGCTTTTAATTCAGTGAGGTCTAATTACCAGACCTCAGACACAAGTAGCCAGACCATGCTCAGACTCTCAGAGGGGCACCTGAACAGCTCTCCTCTAATCACCACACTGCATCAGAGAAGCAGAGTTGGAAAAATTCAGGCAAATCCCTTCTGGATTCGCAGAGGAAGCTCTAATCCAATCCTACCATCTACTGAAAAACTATGGTTTTGAAGGAAAAGGACTTGTCTCCCATCACAAAAGTTTCCTCCAGCATCTGAGCTGAGCCAAGTGCAAATGAAACCTTGAACCTATGCCCAGAATGATCATCAAGAATTGAAACTTTCAAATTAGGACAATATAAAAGATGCCAATAAAAATTTCTTTACTGCAAGCCCTCTTCTGATGTATAAATCTTGCCCCACTTCCCTTCCAGCCCAGCTAAAACCCTAGGGAGACCCCACTCACAGTATTTCTGACACAAGCCAGGGAGCAGTTGAAATTACAAAAGACAGTTCTCAGATCAAAGAAATCCACCTCCATTTGCATGAAGTTTTAGATAAACACCAAAAAAAAGTGAAAAGTTCACTGAGGGACTGACCCTTTTCTGCAGTCACCCTCACACAAATCCTGTATTTGCTGTTTGTCTTGATGGGTGGTAAGGTCTTTAGGGCAGGCACCAGGATTTCCTATGCATTAGTAAAATGCCAACACCATCAGCCTCTGGTTCTAAACGGAGCCTGTGTGTCCTGCCACAGTATAAATAAAACTCGTAACCCATCCAAGCTCTAACACATGACTTCATGATGACCCTCCCCTCATTTATCCATGCTGCTCTAAGTTACTGAGGTCAAATTTAGTGAGGTTTAACATGTGAGTCATACATGGTATGTCCAAATGATCAGAGACTGCGAAACAAGACACATGATCAGGTCACATAAATTTTTCAAGTTTGTTCTGATAACAGAATTCATCTCTCTCTCATTCCTCCTCTGCTTTAATCACCAGATGTTCTCTATTCAGCTACCTGCTACCCTCTCTGAGATTTAAATTAGACACAAAGTACTCCCAGAGACATGATCACAGCACAGAAAGGTTATAGGAGAAATACACTTTTGCCTTCGCATCCTATGTCTGGTAAAAGATATGAAAAGAACTAAAAATCCTGTGATGACAAGCCAGCTTCGAGCACCCTAACTAAGAGCTCAGAAATCTCACTCTTTTTCTTGTATTAGAGCGAGCAGCTTCACAAAGACTCAAACCCTAGATTATCTTTGGGGTTATTGTGAGGTGACTGCAAAGCTTTCTCGTCAGGCTGCCAGTGGGGGGGGGGGAAAAAAAGCTTTCTGAATCAGGCCCTTATCATTTATACCACATTACAATCCAAAATGAAAAATGACTTGCTCCAGATTTGATAGAATAAAGCATCTTGAGATGCCATAGAAGTACCCAATTTTCAATAAAGACATTAAACCTAAGCTTCAAAAAAAAAGGGAATAATTACATCGTTTTTTGCTTTGAGTTCTAATGTTAAAAGTGTCAATTTATACAACTAGGTGAACATCCACAATTCCTAAGCAGACTGCAGCTAATTAGACCCCTTTTGATCTTTTATTTTGCCTAGAAGCATATTTAACAACTTTACACAAAACTCAAGGTTTTGACACACTAGTGGACTGGGGGAGGGGGGAGACAGAAAAGAAAATTCTTCTCTGCTGCTTGCTAAGGTGGGAGACTCATCCTTTCCCAAAGCACACTTGCTGTCAGCAAAACCTGGGAAACTTTCTACCCATGAAAACAACTGCTTCTTCTGCTTCTTATTTGAGCTGTCTGGAGGGAGATGTAATAGAGAACAAAATATTAAAAACTAATTCAAAGCACAGAAGTTGTTACTAACGCTCCTGACTTTAAATGCACTATTTGTGTATGTGAATTACTGGTTTAGATGAAGGATCACAAAACATTATGACTCCAGAGCAATGGGATGGGTTGCCTTTACCTGCTACTGCAAATAAACTCGTCACTGGCACTGTAGTATTCACCAAAAGGACTGTGCAGTCCAGAGAGAGGAGGGAATTGTAGTCTCCTACCTGAGCAGCATCCACCTACCCCTTCAGAGGAGTTGTCCAACAGGGTCTGGTGGGAGTAGGACAAGCAGAGCCGGTCAGAGAACTAGAGCCTATACTGTGCTTTGTTTTTGCTGCACCAAAACAAATCTTTGACCAAGTTGACTCCATCTTGGGGCAGTACAAGGAACTGGACAATTTCCCCAAGTCCTTTCAGCCCTCCTTCCCATGGAGAGTTGACACTAAAATAACCATGAGGGCCAGGTGACAGAATAGCCACTAGGACTTGGGCACTCGTCATTTCTGCAACCCCATCACATCTCCCTCCTTTATATAACAGGAGAGACAGATGTCCATGTCTCTCAGGAACTCACCACAGCAGCAAAGTCAGGATTGTTAAGGGCAAAAAGCTCCTTGTCCTGTCCTGAAATGAAACAATATCATTAGACTTGAAGGACCCAGGTGGCTGGGCTCATGCACACAGACAAAAGCAAAAGACACCAATATCTTTCCCCTGCAAGACGATAATCCTGCCTGGGCATAGCAGTGGCTGTCTGCAATCTTTCTCAGAGGATGAGAGTTTTGCAGCATCCATCTACGTTGCAGCAGCCTTCCCACTCCCCTTGGGTGAGGGACAGCCCTGAAAGCAGGAAGCCAGGCTAGGAAGCAAGGCATGGAGAGGGAAGAGTGACAGAGGGAGGAGAGAGAGGGAATGAGCTGCTTCAAACAGCATAGTTGTGTCTGCAGTAACATGCTGCTGTCTGCAAGCTGATCCCATTGAACAGAGAGGTAGATAGATTTGAAACAACCATAACCACCTCTATCTACTGATTCAGCTGTGTTAATCCTCTAACTAACAAACTTGGGGCCTGGTCTAAACCTCAGTCCAATGTTAGTAACAGACTTCCAGTGTTGCCCTGTCACCACTTAACTATCTTCAGTCTTGAGGTGGGAAAGTCTACCTAAGATTCTCTGTTCAAGCAGGAATAAACATGTTGATGGTAGCTTTCAGCTCCCACTGAGCTGTTTAAGCCTCCCCACATCCGCTCTACACAGCCCTGTACCACCCAGAGGACCCCAGCCCCAGGCTGTGCTCTGAGTCCTCCACCCCAGACTCACAACCACTGAGTAAGCTTAAAACATTACCTTCAATTTCCTGAAAAATTACTCTTCCTCACCCAGTTCCAAGGCTGTCCTGGCTTGCAATTCACTTCCTTTTCTCCTCACTCTCCTGCAGGTGCATCAGCTGAATGATGGTCCAACAGAGGAAGGGAAGAAGGAAGTGATCAGAGATGGTACCTGCACGAGAGCAGCTGAGCTATTTCACTCCTCACGTTGCACATTGCAATGTTAATGATTTTAAAGAAAACCATTTGCAAAGCTAAAAGCTTAATGTAGGAACAAAAATCAATACTGTGCTCAAGAAAGTCCCCTGATGCTGGAGACTTTAAAGCATCATTCAGGTAGACAGCACTGGGACATTCCCTCTGGTAACGACTGCCCAGCAGACCATTAGAGAGGGGAGGTTGCTTTAATTTATGCTCTTTGTCATTCTAATATAGATCTTTCCTTTTCAAGTGGTGTTTGTACTTTATACTGCAATCTGGATTCAGAAATGGAACAAGTCCTTAAAGCTAGGATCAATATATCCAACATCACCTTTCAGATGGGAGGCAGAGAGAACACAGCAAAAGGAGAGGGCCAAATGCCTTGCTGGCATAAGCAGTGAGTTCCTTGATGCTGCAGTTTTGCCATTTAAAATATGAGTCCAAGTATGGACCTGAGCTTAGTTAACTAAACAAAAATTTAAAAAGGAAATTAAAAAAAAAAAAAACCAAACAAACCCCCTTGATTCCCCAGAACTCCCTGCAAATAAATTCAAACCTTTTCCAAATGTTAATTTATAATGTATCATTACTAATAACACTGGTAAACACTGTTGGGCTGCAGAAACTGAGCAGGGAGCCTGACCTACCCAAGGTGACAAGCCAAAGAGAGGAGCCAGCTCACCTTCCTGCTGCCCATGCTGCCTCTGACACAGAGGAATAGCTCCTCCTTTCCCAATTTATTACCAAATTACCTGAGAATTTTAAGTAATTTACCTGGTACTATCCACAGGCAAAACAGTAAACATAAAGGCTCCTTCTGCCTGCAAGGGCAAATGCTGTTTTGAGGTACAAAAGTAATTCTTTGAATCTACAGAAATGATGATCCCTGGTTCCAGAAGAAAACTTCAAATGTTGAGAGTCTGGTCTGTCTCTCTTTAAGAAAGGATTATTGTCAAGGTTTGCTTGTTTGTTTTTGTTTGGGTTTGTATGCCAGACTCCTGCCCTCTGAGCAGAGGTGGAGCATAGGAAGGCATTTCCCTGTGTTGGCCATGGCCACAGTGGGTTTGAAAAATCTTCCTAAAGGAAGCAAGCTTAATAAACAACAGCAAACAGTCCAACAAACCTTCTCCTTGGCTCTCAATAAACAAGGAGCAGAATGAAGTGGATTGAAAAAAAACCAACACCGTCACCACCCCCCAAAAAAAAAAACTGGAGGGAAGATTTGGAGAAAGTGACCTGTCAGTGTTCCATTTCGCCCCTGTATGTCAATGAAATTTTAAAGAATTCACATGTGGGGAAATTCCAGAATGAAAAGTGATGCATGCAGGCAAGTCTCACGCAGCTGTAACAGTTAAACAAGAACTAGCTCTAGACAGTTTATAGACACCAGAATGACACTCAGGTACAGAAGATGATCTCCAAAAGTTGCAAGAACAAGTGACAGGTCAGTGCACAGTGTACACTGTACATGAAGTACATGGGTCACCCCTGGATGCTCTGAGGTGTCCCTGTAACCCAAGATCATTCATGCATCCTTAGGGTGTGCAGTAGGCACAGAAACTTACCTATAACTTGTTTTTTTCTGTTCTAATTGATATAGGTTTCTCAATTTCACATTGCCCTAAGGGTCAGAGATACTCTTTACTTCTATTACATACAGATGCCAGATCCATATAGCTCTATTCCACAAGAAAGAAATCCCCAAGGATTCCAATTGTTTTAAACGAAAAACCTAAACAAATGAAAAACAAACCCTCTTCTGCCACCTACTCAACAAGCACATGCAACCTACCAAAACACACTGCTGCTAATGCTTTGCAGCAACACTTGCTCAACACCAAACAAAAGCACCTATAAGTCACCAAGTCAGTTGGTAAAATCAGATATAATATGTCAAAATATTTCAGTTTCACCCAAGCACTCTTGGTTAGTTAGTGCTAAATATTCGTTCCATCTCTTAATCCTTCTGCCAGGCAAGCCAGATTTCCTGCTAGCAAACAAAGTCAAGCAACGTGTCTAAGATCACAGAGGAATGTTGCCTGAACTGAAATAATAACTAACATCTCATCCCTCAGTCTGTCCTCCTGCAAGGAATGAGGGTTCACTCCTTCAACTTCAGTACATTTCACCTTGGCTTTTGTCCACTGCTTATTTCTCTTATTTCCTTTGTCCCAGAATCCAAATTAATCTGCATGGTGCTAACTGAGTTCCTACAAAACAAATGGTGGAAGAAAGGCATCTCACCCCCTTAATTCACTGAACAGCTCAGGGAGCCCGGGACAGTGAGCAGACACGAGTCCCGTGGGGCTGTACATGGCCCTTAAGGTGACTCCTTGGGGAGAGCACCCACCATTTCCCCAGGGAAGCCCCATTTTGCACCTCACCCACCAGCCTTTAGCACCAAGGCTGGAGCCTTCAGTTTTGGCTTGCTGCACTTTCTCCTGGGTTTGATCCAGTCCCTCAAACCTTCCACTCGTTCTTTGGAGCTGAGGTGCACCAGGGAGCATTAGGACACATTTACAAAGCAACGTCTGAGAGTGTCTAGAAAGCTCTATGAGTACAAGTACTTTTGTTTTCACAAGAGAAATGTCTACAGGGCTGCATTTTGGGAAGGAGTGAAGAAACATCTGTGTGCTCACAGCAGCAGCACAGGCACAAGCCGCAGCTGCGAAGCCCCTCTAACTCTGCTGGTGCTGTCTGCTAACTGCTGGCATGAATATAGTAACAGGGTTGCACATATGGCAGGCTGTTTAATTTTAGAAAGCAAAACTATCGAGTGATTAAGTTAGTCATCCTTCCTCAATTTGGGACCAATACAACACTACCAGAGGCAGTGGTCATAACCACTGTGGTTTGTGAGAGAGAAAGACGGCGCATGTGCGTGCTCTCGCGGCGGCGGGGAACACCAGAAACCCTGTCCTGCTCTGCCCAGCCTTGTTTATCAAAGCAGGATCAGACAAAAGCAAGAAAATACAACTTAAAACAGCCTTCAAATTAAAAGTGAGTGCCTGCAGATCTGCACACATGTACACACAGAGCCCCCAACACCCTCTGGATGGGGTGCAGCAGAACCGTTGCTTTCACGGCGCTTTCAAAGAGTGAGATTGAAAATAATGCTGGGCCAATTGGCCTCTGGAAGTGAGGTCCATTCAAATCACAGTCAGGGACTTGATTTTCCCAAGGGAAACTAATGAAGAGGGAAATGGGAGTCCAGTTCAGCCAGCACAGCTGCCAGGGTGCCAACATGTCTGGGTCAGGAGTAAGAGCGAGCCATGTGCTGGGACACTGCACAGATCCATGTCACCAGCTGGCTGAGTCTTACCATGCTCAGCAGCCCAGCCTGTGCCAACACTCACACACCCTCCCCTGGACAGGAGGGGCCATGATGCATTGCAAAAGCAGCCGCTTCCTCTGCAGAGCCCAATGGTTTATCCTCAGATGCAGCACCAGCTGCATCAGGAGGATGCAACCCTGCAAAGCCCACCGGTATCTTTCCCTTCCAGTGAAAACCAACGAATGAAGAAAGCAAACAAGTCATGGAGGGATTTTCTGTTTCTCTAGACAAACACTCTAAGAGCAGTTCAAAAGAGGCTAATTAAATTCCAAAATCCCTGTGCAAATACATTAATAATGATTTTGAAATGAGCAGTTAACCAAGGAAGTTTTCAAGGTGGGAAGTGTTTGATACAGGAGAGAGTGCGAGAAAGAGCTGCCCAGCCTATGTTAGAGACAATCTCTCTGGCTAGCATACAAGTTCAGGGGAGTGGGCAAAAGCAAATGCTCCTGGGCCCAGGAACAGCACTGTCCCCAGGCAGGCAGGGGGACAGAGAAGCCAATCTCCTTCACTCCAAACCACCAGGAAGACAAGTAAACACTAAATAACATGGCCATGAGTCTGAACGATCACTATGTAGCCTCACCAAAAAGCTCTTCTTACCAATTTCCAAGATGGAGGAAAAGCAAAAGACATTTTTTCTGTCCTGCTGTCACTACAGAAAAATTCCAAACACCAGATAAATCCTTTTAGTCTTCCCACACAATCGTAGGTAAATCAAGGGGAAAAAAAGATAATCAGTTGCTTGTAACAGAGGTATAAGAGTTAGTGGTGGGGAAAGGGTTCTCCACAGTCACAAAGACCTTTTGCCTTGTCTTTCTTGTTTCTGCAGCTTGTGTCAATAACTGCACCAATGAAAACAGTGTATGAAATGCTACTTTTCTAACAGGAATTAGAGTCTGTCCCCCTTGTGCATGAAGCGTGAAATGATGAAAAATGGATAACTTGTTATAATTGCTCATATGGCGGGGTGGAAAAATACAATGCTGTTACATGGTCTGCAGTCCCACGGTTCATGGAACCTCTCAATGTTAAATGCCATCGTTCTCACAAGCAAGAAAGGCAATAGTACCAATCTTCATTTAATGATGGCAAACTAAGAAAAGAAGTGATGTGAAAAAACACAGAAATGAAGTGATTCATCTTTGTAAAGTCCTTGGCAGAGCAAGGAATTAAACCCACCGGTTGAAGCCCTGAACACCAAGCCACCCATCTTAGTAAAGTCTCCAACCATGGTCACAAGATTACCCCTCCTATGCTCTTCCCCTTATTCTCTGCATGTCCTTGCTCAGCAAAATACAATTATGTTTTTTTCAGGTAAGATCTCATGAGATACTGATTCATATGCTTGTTAAAATCCAGACCCATTATACCTCTTTTTGCTTTCATTCACTAATTTTATTGTCCTATAAAACAAAAGATTTTCTGGTGAGATACATTTGCTGTGCCGCCACTCCTGCTAAAGGCACACAGCTGCCATCATCTTCCGGAAACAGGTTTGTTTAGTTCATAAATCCTCATTTCAGTATTTTGCTAAATACAAAAATTATGCGTACAGGATAATAAATTCCAGGATCATTCTTT